TTCACCTTGTTCTTTCTTCAAAATACTTCTGATAGTACTATAATTCTTGGGTTCCATGGTAGACCTAATGTAAATTAGCTTCATATTGTTATTTTTATATAGAGGTAATTCTATATACCACTTAATATTAAGAAAAAACAAATATAACAAATGGGGGATTTTAATAATCACATTACTAAATTTTGAACCCTGAATCCTTGGTAATACCAATGTTCACTTTGTCTGGTTTTGTTGCAGCATGCCCCAATTAAGAAAAATAAATTTGTGCAACACTAAACAAAAAATTCAAATTAATAAAATTAATGTTAATTAACATTCAATAAACATATAAACAAAGTTTCTAAAAGATTTTTTATTACTACCTAGTAATAATATGGAATTGACTAGAATGCCCTCGTTTCTGAATAGAGAAAGAAAAGTGGCAACGACGGAGGAAAATGATTTTGTCGAAATGTCGAGTGTGCAACCACGTGAAAGCACAACTAGTGAGTTTGACTTAAAACCTCTTATTGATAAGGATGAAGATGATGAAATAATTGATAATATTGATGAAAGAGATACTGCTAAACTAACAAAAAATCGTGTAGATCAAAATTTAGAAAAAGAGGATGAAGAAACTCCTTCTATTAGGCACGAAGCCAATGATTCCAACAGAAATATTAATGTATCCTCCTCGCTTAAACATTCTAAAAGTCTTAGTAGGATGAGTGATATACTTTCAAGGGCATCAACAAGGGTTGTTAACTTGGCAAATATTTCTCAAGAACAGTTTGAAAAAGCAGAATTAAAACAATCTTCACAAGCTTCCTCATTATCACGTAGATCGTTTAGTCATAAGGATAGTAGTAGTATTATAAGAAATCGATCAATTCCTGCAGATTCTTTCAAACAGCAAAGATCTTTAAATCATAAACCAAATGAAAGTTTTCAATCTGCAAGTCAACAATTCGGCCCTCCATTATTAGGAAATTCATTGTACATTTTTAGCCCAACCAATTCTATAAGGATATGGTGTTTTGAATTATTAAGTAATCCGTAAGAATCAATTGTTTAATTATTTTGTTATTATTTTTTCTTATAAATGTGTTAAAATGTTATTTTAATTTTATGATAGATGGGCCGAAATAGTGATTTTATCACTTATATTATTACATATTTTATTATTGGTTATTGATGCATGGAATCCAGTTAATGATAATGAAGTAGCACCAATGTGGAGTCAATCTATAGCTAGTTATATAATAGTGGGAATATTTATAATATACACGTATGTTCTTGCATATATAGATATACATATACATATATAAAATATGTAATTAATTGATTATTTAAAATTTTTTTAGAGTGGAAATTACAGCAAGGATTATTGTTTCTGGGTTGATCATCAATCCCAAAAAAGAAATTCGTTCAATAGCATACGATGAATTATATTCTGAACCTAAGAATTCTCAAATAACATCATCATTTAATTCAAAACAATCTCATTCTCATACAAGAGATGGTTCATTATCATTATCATATAATCAATACGGTTTGCCCAACACCATGGCAATATCTATATCTGATACCGCATTTTTAAGACACACTTTCAATAGAATTGATTTAATTGCTGTTTGTAGTTTTTGGATTCATTTGATAATAACTTTATGTGGAGTTCAGCATTTTTATTTATTGAGAGCATTATCTACTCTGAGAAGCCTAAGGCTTTTGTCAATCACAAGTGGTAGTGCAACAATATTACAGTCATTGAAAAAAAGTGCATCCTTGTTGGTGAATGTTATTTTCTTTATTGGCTTTTTTTTTTTATTATTCAGTATTATTGGCACTCAAGCATTCCAAGGTTCATTTTTAAGACATTGTGTATGGATAAATCCTGCTAATAATAGTGATACAATTGAAATTCCAGATAAACATTGTGGTGGGTTTTTTCAAATAAATGATGAAAAAAATGTGGTAGAAGCTGTTGGAGTTTCTTTGCAACCACCCAAAGGATTTATTTGTCCATTAGGTCAAATATGCATGGTAAATATATTCTAATTTAAAATTCTATAGTCAAATGTTATGAAATTATTTATTTAATTTACTAATTTAAATTTTTTCCCGAAAAATAAAAATTATTTATTTTAAGGAAACTTCAAATCCATACAATAAAATGATTTCTTTTGATAATTTTGGAGTTTCCATGATTTTAGTGTTTGTTATATCTTCAAGTAAAGATTTTTATTATTCTAATATTTAATTTTTTGCTTTTTGAATAATTTTTTTTTAATTAACTATTTTCTTTATATAATTATTTATTATTATAAATATTTTTAATCAATAAGTTCAAAATTGGTCTTATTTGATGTATTCAACAATGGATTCTGAATATGGAATATCTTGCTTATATTTTATTGTTGCAGTCATTATTTTAAATTTTTGGCTTGTCAATTTGTTTGTTGCTGTTATCACAAAAATGTTTGCAAAAATTCGTGATGATACATCACATTCAGCTTTTACATTATCAAAGTAAGCCTATTAATCTTAATATTTATTGTATTTATTATTATTATTATTATTTTATAACAAATACTAAATTTATTTATTTTTTTGATGTAATAATAATTATTATTATTTTAAGATCTACACCTGTTTTGTTGGATGATGCTGAAGGATGGAAATTACAAGATGGGAAAACAACAATAAAACCAAACATACTAAATCGTATAATGAGAGAAACTAAATATCTTTGGGTCTTTTTTATATTCATTGACCTATTCATTATGGCATTTAGAAAAAATAATGATGATGGTGCAAAGACTGAGGTTATAGGTTAGATTTTTAGGAATATTTATATATATCTATATTATTATTAATTAACTAATATTTATATATTTTTATATTTTGTATAATTTGATGATGATGATAAATAAGATCGAGCTGAACTTGTTTTTACAATAATATTTAGTGTAGAAATACTTTTGAGATTTTTTTCATATTTTCCAAAGTTGAGGTTATTTTTTGACAAATGGGCAAACATAGTAGATTTAACATTGGTTATTATAACACTCGTGATTCAAATCCCTTTTATAAAAAATTCACCTGTATATGTTTATATGACTGTATTTCAAATAGCAAGGATTTACAGAGTTGTAATTGCTGTACCAAGATTAAGAAATTTATTGGTAAGAATATTTAATTCCTTCTTTAAAAAAAAAAAAAAAGATATTTTTTTGATTAAAAGTTTTTATTTATCAATTTAACAGGTGAGAGTTTTAGGAAGTTTAGTAGGTTTGGTGAATTTGATATTGTTTATTATTATTGTAAATTTTATTGCAGCAATAATTGTAAGTAATAATATTTAAATTTCTTTTATTTTTTAATTAAGATTTTTTAAAATAGTTTAATATTTCTAAAAAACTTTTATATAAAATATTTAAAAAATAGGGAGTCCAATTATTACGTGGTGTAATCCCGTATGAAGATGATAACGATTTTGATGGTATTCCAAATACTATGAATTTTAGTGATATATTTAATGGTTTTATAGCATTTTATCAGGTAAATTTATTACTACTACTACTATTATTATAATGATAATATAATAAAGATTTTGTTTATTGTTAATTTATATTTAATTTAGTTGTTTTCTGGTGAAGATTGGACAACAGTATTGTACAACACATTGCAATATGAATCAATAAAGGGTAGCACTGCAACAGCATACATAGCAGCATGTTTTTTAATTATATACGTTAGCTTGTCAAATTGTAAGTTTTTATATATCATCTTTATAAAATTACACAATATTATTATAGTTATAATTTGAACTATAATTATTTATTATTAGTTATATTATTGACTATGTTTATTGCTGTGATACAAGAAAATTTTGAGACTGCTGAAGAAGAAAAACACAAGATTCAAATTAAAAAGTTTAAAAATAAATCAAATCCCAAAATAAAAAAAGAAGATGTCATTGATAGATGGAACTTTTATAGATATTTTCAAGCAAAACCAAAAGCTTTATATGTAGAAAATATTCCTTCTAATTTGATTTTACATACACAAAAAAGAAGAGTTAGAGAATTTCTGAATGATAATAACGATTTTAATGAAAAAATGGTAGCGTGTAATTAACACACACATATATATGTTAGCTTATTGAGTAAAAAAAAAAAAATTAACATTTTTATTTAATTTAGGGACACAAAAATGATGATAATGTTGATAAATCAAATTCATTTATTAAATACCTTCAACGATGTTTTGGTATTAACGCAGAAAATGATCAAACCCCATTATTTAAAAATGACAATGATAGAAGAAGTGTACAATTTGATGAAATAAATGTGGGAGGAAACAAGTAATTTTTATTTTGTAAAGATAGTCAAAAAAGCATTTTTTTTGATTGATTAGTTAATTAAATTTTTTTATTTTAGTGATGGCTTTGCTGGAGATACAGTCAATGAAAGACATGCTGAAATTTTTCTCGATGATTACCAAGAACGCAGAGCAATGAAAGCTGATTTTATAGCAGCTCACCCAAATTATAATGCATCACTCTGGTTTTTGTCACCTAATAATCGTATACGTAGATATTGTCAACTGTTGGTGCCATCAAGTTATGGAGAAAGGATTTATGGGACAAGACCAAATTCTAAATTAAGTTTGGTATTTGGTATTTTTATCTATTTTTGTATCGTAGCCAGTGTAGTTTTAGCATGCATTACTGTACCTTCATTTCAAAAAGTATATTATCAAACACACGAAAGGAACAGCGGACCATGGTTTTGGGTTACATGGTTTTGGGTTACAGATCTTGTATTTACGTTGATTTTTATGATCGAATTTGCTATAAAAATAATTGCAGATGGATTTTTATTGACACCAAATGCTTATCTGCTTAACGTCTGGAATCAATTGGATTTTGCAGTATTAATTACCCTATTTATAAATTTGATTTTCTCAATCTCTACTACCAGTAATATTTCGGTTTCAAGAGCTATAAGGGCATTTAAAGCTTTAAGAGCTTTAAGATTGATCAATTTATCAAGTTCAATTAAAAACACGTTTCATGCAATTTTAATAGCTGGAGCACCTAGAATTTTAGATGCAGCATTATTGTCAATAAGTTTAATTATACCATTTGCAATATATGGACAAAATATATTTTCAGGGTTATTTTTTTTATGTAATGATACTGATTCCGCTATAGTGGGTATAGATGATTGCAAAGACGAATATCAGCAAATTATATATAACCAGCTGCCTGTGTTAACACCAAGAATATGGGACAATCCATATTCATATAATTTTGATGACTTTCAATCAAGTTTAAGAATATTGTTTGAAATTGTTTCAGGTGAAGGATGGATAAATGTCATGACAACTTCAATGAACATAAAAGGAAAAGATTTATCACCAGTGCCATTTGCTTCTAAATGGAATTCATTGTTTTTTATGGTATATAATTTGGCAGGTGCTGTATTTGTCCTAACATTATTTATAAGTGTTATCATATCAAATTATCAATCAAAGTCAGGTGCTGCATACTTGACATCAGATCAAAACAGATGGATCGACTTGCAGAAAATATTGAAACAAATCAAACCATCAAAAAGACCAAAGATCAGACCATTTAATAAAATTAGAAGATTTTGTTATGATTTGAGTGTTGAGAAAAGGGGTATTCTTAGTAAAATCATGACAGGAGTTTATATACTGCACATTTTGTTGCTTTTGACTGAGTCTAAATATTTTGAAGATGTTACTTGGTATGAGAGCTTAAAAAGTAAGTTTTATAAACTGTTTATTATTTTAATTAATATATATATATATATATATATATAATTAATTAATACGCATTTTAATTTTTTAAAAAAATTTTTTTTTAGGTGCTTTATTTACAGTATTTATAATAATCTATATTATAGATATCGTGATAAAGATCACAGGATTGGGATGGAATGTTTTTCGTAGCAATAGATGGAATTTATTTGATTTAGTAGTGGTTACGGGTGCTGCAGTTACTAATATACTAGATCTTATACCAAACTCTAACATTGATGCAATAAAATATCGAAAAATTTTTTTGATATTGATTGCTTTTAAATTATTTCAAAAAAGTGACGTTTTAAATCAGTTATTCAAAAACATGGTGTAGGTTTTTTATTTATATTTTTAAATTATTTTAAAAATCTATTAATTTGTTATTTTGTATATTTTTTAGTTCAAGTATACCATCAATCTTTAATTTATTTGCAGTTTGGTCTATTGTATTTGTTGTATATGCTATAATGTTTATGGAAATTTTTGGACTTACCAGATATGGACCTAATAGTGGCGACCATATTAATTTTAGAAATTTTCCAACAGCAATGATAACGTTATTTAGAATGGTTACAGGGTAAACTATCATTCAATTTGTAATTTGATAACAAACTATGCACATCTTTATTTATTTTAAAATTTTTTGATTGTATAATATTTAGAGAAGGATGGAATTCAATAATGTATGATTATAAAGTAGAGTCCCCATTTTGTGTAAGCGGTGAAGATTTTCTACAGAGCGATTGTGGTAGTCAACATTGGGCACATTTTCTATTCATATCATGGAATGTTTTATCAATGTATATATTTGCAAATATGTTTATAGTGGTAGTTACAAACAATTTCTCATATTGTTATCAGATTGCAGCGGAATTCAGTTTGGTGAACCGTGATGAGATCAGAAAATTTAAAAAAGTTTGGGGAGAAATTGATATAAACAGAACAGGTTATATTAAAAGTGAAGATTTTGGAAAATTTTTTAGTGTAAGTATTAAAAAAAAAATTTTTTTCCTCCTATTTTATAGGAATAATAATGATGATAATAATTAAAATTTTATTCAAAATTAAAAAAAAAAATAATAATAATAGAAATTGAGTGGTTCATTTAATGTGAAAATTTACGATGATGAATTCTTAATACCAAATTTAATGAAAAATTCCAAGATTCACAAACAATTTGATTTAAGTAATCTCAGTAATGTTAGTCATAATACTCAAGAACTTTTTAGACAAAATGCAATGTGGGGTAGTAGCAAACAAAAAGAAAATAATACATTACAAGTTGACGATATTGATGTTAGAAAACTTGAACATAATTTGTTACAAATTAATCAACAAAAAGTTTGTGAACGTAAAAGGGCTTATAATTATTTGTATCAGGTAAAAATAAAATAATGGCAAGAACTAAAATTTTTAATAATAATAATAATTATTATTGCAATTACTAATTGATTGATTTTTTTCTTCTCTGATTGTAATTCAATAGGAAGCTTTAATATCAGTGGAAAGAGATGGTTTTGGTAGTGAAAAAGGAGTTTCATTTACAAACATGCTGTTAATGCTTTCTCATTATAAATTAATTGATGATGAAAAAAGTTTAGAGTAAGTATAATTACATAATAGTAAATAAGAATATTTTATTGTTTTTATTAATTATTTTATTTTTATTTTAGAATTCATGAATTTGTAAAGAGGAAAGAAAAATTAGAAAAAGTTGCAGATAATGTTAACAGAGATCGTGTCAGGTCCCTGTTGAGAACGATATATTGGCATAAAAAATTCAAAGCTTTAAAAGAAGAAAAAATATTAAAGGAGAGGATGAGCGGAGCTGGAAGTAAGTAGATATTTTAAATTCTTTGACACCATAAGATGAATGTTTTACTTTGTGAAAATCTCTATGTTACTGTTATATTATATATTAATATATTAAAATCATATCCCCAAAGTACCGACAATTATGGTGAATGATATGGAATCTCAAAATCTCAGAGTCAATACAGATGATATTGATGGAACACATTCACCATCATTTATTGGCAGTGCACCAAGCCCCTTGTCCTTTAATAGTATTTCAGCAGCCACAACACCAGGGTCAACAAGTTCACCAGGATCTCCAATGTCTATGAACTCTGACCATCACATATCTGATTATTTTATCACAAGAACGTCCAGTTTCAATTCTAATGAATTCTCAAATGCAACGTCATCTGTTTTTGTGTAAGTATGATTTTTAATTTTTAATTTTTAATTAAAAAAACATTTAACAATTAATCGAAATTTATTCATTTAATCATGAAAATAGGGATGGTGATAATGAAAACAGCAATAACAGTGACAACAACAATAGTTTTTGGAATTCAATTGATTCCAACTCAGAAATAGACGATCAGACTGCAAACCAACTATTTAATAGTTTGCAAAATAATTATTGGCATGGTAAGACGATTTTTATTATTAATTAGTGCTGTATAATTCATTTGTTTATTCATTCATTTGATACTTATTTACTTATTTAGCTACTTTGCAAGAAATGTCCAATGAAAATGAAGAAAATCCATCATAATATAATACAATATATATATATATATATATATATATACATATACATATATTTCTATTTAGACTTTAAAATTTTTTATTTTAATCTGTAATTTATTTATGTATTAATACTTCTAATTGTTAATTTAATCTTTATATCATTTAAAAACATATACACACACATATAATCTATAAATATAAACATATGGAACATCATATTGGGGCATGGACAGCAAAAAAGGCCGAATTTTGATTTCTGATCATTTTTGAGATAGTAACATGATTACATGCATTATGTGCCTAGGAATTATTTGAGCTAGAACATACCCATGCTTACTTAATAAAGTTGTTAGATATTTTCGTTTTTTGAAAAACACCTTTTTCGTGCAATGACCCAAATTTCCGGGATGATCTACAAAGAAATGTACAAATTTGATAATATCCAAATTAAAATTTTTTTTACCCATCATACATAATAATAAAAAAAATAATATTTTATCTGAAAATAATAACCTTTTTGACGAAACCCACCCAGAATTATCAGAATTAAATGAAGAATTCCAAGAACTTCAAAATAATTTTATTTCTCCTTTGGATATTCTAGCAGAAGATATCATTGGCATTGATGAGACTGATGAGTCAGAAGTTTCTGATGATGAACTTGATAACACAAATGGTAGTATTTTTTCAGATTTAGAAATTCAAAAATTTAGAAATATTTATTGCAAAAATTCAGTTGAAATAGATTCTGATGAATTAGTAACAACACAAGAAAAAATAGATCAAAAAAATGAAGAATCAAAAGCTTATATTTTAAATATATTAAAAACAAAATGTTGTAATAAAGATTGTTTAACAAATATTGATCAAGAAAGTGCTATATTAAGATATAAAAATTATAACAATTTAAATAAGAATGAACAAAATATATTTTTATTGGGGGTTGTCTCAGCTTCAATAAGGAATCCAATGAATACAATCAATAATTATATGACATTAAAATATATTTATGATGGAGTTAAAATATGTGCTAATGCTTTTTTGAATCTATATAATTTATCAGAAAATAGATTAAAAAATTTAAAAAAACATTATAAAAATAATGATATTATCCCAGTAACACATTTAAACAAAAGAAAAAAACCACCTAATGCAATTTCTTTTGATAATATATTAAAAATACTTACATTTATTAAAAATTTTGCATCTTTACATGGTTTACCATCTCCAGGTAAGTTTTAAATAAAAATAATTTATATTATCAAATATTTATTAATAATTTTGAATTTACTAGGCTGTCATTTTAAAAGAGATACAAAACCTATAATTTATTTATCTACAAAAGAAAATTATACAAGAATGCATGATTAATTCCTAAATAATATTGCTGAAACTCCAGAGCTTTCTGTTTATTATAAAAGTTTTGTCAGAATTTGGAAAAAATATCTTCCTGAAATACAATTCCTATCCCCTCGAACTGATCTTTGTCAATTGTGTAAAGAAATGAGGTTCAATTCAACTCTCTGGGCCTCAGCTGAAAAAGAAAAAAGAGTAAAAGTTTGGAATGAACATATTAGATGGTCAAATGAAGAGAGAGATTATTATAGGTATCAATTCAAATATTTTTTTTCAATATATACTATTAATTTAACTTATTTGTTAAATCTCTTAGGAATCATATTCAAAATGCAAAGGAAGATTTAAAATATAGAAATAATACTTCAATGATTGTTGAAGAGGATATTATTCCATGCTCATCTAATATAAATACTCATATTTCTTGGGATTTTGCTGAACAAATACAATTAATTACCTGTTTCATCACAGCAAATAGTACAGTACCTAGACAAAAGAATCGGAATGCACGTTTTTGTTAATTACGCAGAAACATACATAATAACCACATATTAA